AAGTATTAATACCTGTTCCCAGCCTCTCTCCCTCTCTTACAAATATCTCCCTTTCCAACCTTCTAAACCAGTTCCACTCCTTCTCTACAGCAAGTATGCATGGAAAATGCAATATTAAGAGGTAATTATGAAACATTGCTACCACAATGGATGTGGCTACTTGGTTATGTCCTTTCTATACAACAGTTCCCGAAGATATCACCTATTCTAAATATTAGGGGAAATTAGTAATCTCACACATCACTCCGTGGTAACTATTGGCAACTGTTAACTTTTTAAAACTGCAGTTTATTTCCTCTCCTTAAGTATAAGTTACATTTATTAATGTTGAATATCAATCCCATTGTCTGCAGACCCAACTGCTCTTTCCAACTCATGTTGTAGTTTGATTATGTCTTTTTTTTTTTACTCCCCTAACACACCCCAAATTTTGGTGTGGTCTGCAAACTTGATTATGGTTGAATATAAAACATTGGACAAATATAAGAAGGGTTCAGGAAAAGTGCTTACTTATTATTAGTTTCATTAGTTTAAAATATCCTCTGGAAAGCTGGCTACAACTAACAGACGGCAACCTTTCATATAAACGAATGCACTGATCTTGCAAACTGCGCCACAATGGCAGATTCCAGCATCTGTGAGGCAACCACTCCATATATTTCTACCAGTGCAGACAGAGATGCCACTCGCAGTTAAAAAAAAAAAAGCAGCTTCAAAGACCAGTTTGAGAACTCCTGCACTAGACAGGATCGCTGTACACAGGCCCAGCAAAACCAAGAACTAAATCCAAGCAGAATCCATCTTAAAAAAAAAAGATATGTTTACATATTATTTGCAACAACCTTATTCTAATAGCGACTGCAGAAATTCATTCTCAGCCTGTAATTTGCCCATCTACTTTACATACCATTTAGTTATTTCTTCTTTATAGTTGTAACCATGTTTTTTAATGTACCTGGTTTCTGGACCTATCTCCACCCTACAAAAACATGGTGCTATTTCACTGTCTATTATTTTGTATAACAAATCATGAAAGAAGGGCTGTAGTAAACTTTTTATACATAAAAGAATTTCTTACTGTGCAACATTATAATGGTGAGCTGCAAAGAAAAAAAAAAGGCGGGGGGGTTCCCCCCCTGCTTCTTCTACAGGAAGCCAGAAAGGTGGTATTCTTTTTTAAAGTTTCTTTTTTTGCCTTTTTTTTTAAAACCTTAGAAATATCATCACCAAATATGCTCTTCCCTGTTCTTTTGCTGAAGAACTCATTGGATGACTGGGTAATGGAGACAGAGTTTTTTAGCCTTTATCTCAAGGGCCTTTGTTACTGGATCCTTTAAAAAAAAAAGTGAGTTTTTTTCTCAGGTGTTTTCATTAAATAGTTATTAACAAAATAAGTGAAAAACAGAGGTGTAAATTGTCTGAATTAAACCCCTTTCCCCCTCAGATGATTTGATTTCACTTCCTTGGTACTTAACTCTCTAATCATTAAGGTTTCCATGGTAGACTTTCTAATGTAAACAAGGAATGGTGGGGAAACCTTCAAAATCAAAACCAATCCTTACTGGACTTCTTCACACATCATAAAGAAGCAAAAAAGCCCCATTGTCTCCCCCCCCCACACACACACACACCTTTAAGGTTCCTCTTCTGCTATTTTTGCTTTGTCCCTCATTTTTGTTTTTGCCACTCTTCACAAAGACGAGCACATTTTAGGGCTTGGGTGGGTTGAGAAGAAAAACACCATCTGTAAAATAGCGAACACTCCAAATTACAAGTCTGTTAATAAGAGTGTTGGGGAGCAGGGAAAGGGAAGAATAACAGCAAGAAAGATCATCAGAATAAATAATCAGGCCATTGAACTTGGGAAAACACCCTATCAGATTACACCTTGACAGTGGACTGATGCATCAAATTCTATTTGTCACATGAAAATAACTAGCAAATCTAATAGTTGCATGCAGGACATTTGCACAACCAAAGGCTTCTAAAAACTAGCTGGATCCTGGAGGACACCTATTTATATTGCCGTTCAGAAAGCACCACAATTAAGTAGTAGTAATCCTGATGTTTCTTAATTGCATTGTTTTGCAGACCTGTGTCAGAGGTCACCATGTTTTGAGGAGGTTGGTGGCGGTGGTGTACCTGCCAACAGTGGAAAGATATATACACTACAGGGGCAATGGATTGCATTAGCTGGATTGTAAATTCTTTGAGGCAGGGCTCACCTTTTGGTTCTATGTTTGCACAGCACCTAGCACAATGGGGTCTTTGTCCATGACAGGAGTTCCTAGATCCCACTGCAATATAAATAATAAATAAAAAAGCATGGCCATACATTTTTGTTCCCTTTGAAATACATAAAGGAGGGAGATAGAGAGGATAGTCAATATTCTGGGGAAATTAAAAGGGAAGGCTGGCATGTGCTAAGAATGATTTGGGGGTTTAGAGTGGTAATGTGGGCCTTGAAGGGTCATGACTAACAGTGATTACTGGTTGGGGGTTCAGGCTTCTTTTGGGAGGGCGCTGAGCCCTATCAGTGGTTTGGGGGCATGGAAGGGGTGGTGGCTCTCAATGGTTTTTGGAATAGGAAGGCTGACTTTAGAGTGGTTTTCTGTGAGGACTGCAGGCTTTCTGGCTTTGAGGCTATGGGTTGCAGTGGTGTGTGGGTTTGGGGTGGCTTTTTGTGGGGGTTATAGCTCTCAGTGACTCCTGGGTTGAGACCTGAGGTTTTGGAAATGCTGTTCTCTACCAGCAGCCTCTGGGCTTGGAGGGCTGTTGCGTGGGGACTGGGGATGGGGCACTGTGTATTGAGGAGCGATGATGCTGAGCTGGATTTGGGCGTGATCAGGATGCTATGGGGGGTGAGGAGAGGAGCTGGGTTAGGGCTGAGCAGGTTGGGTGCTGCAGGGGGAGGGAAGATGCTGAGATGTATTGAGGATCATGGCTATGGGTTGGGGCCCTGGGGAAAGGGGAGATTCGAGCAGCAGGCTCTAGGGTGCTTGTTATAGGGAGAGGCAGTGGTAGCCTGGGAACCGGGTGCCAGGCCTTATTCACTCCTCCCTGGAGCCTGAACACACCGCCGTCTCCTAGCAACACCTGAGGTGGCAAAGGGCAGGGCCAGGCTGGCTCAGTCCCAGGCATCAGACTGTACCGGAGCCGCCGGAGGGCTCAGCCCAGCCACTGGGGGGGGCACTAGTGGGGGCAAGGGGGAACCATGGCACAGAAAAGCACCAACCCCGCCCAGCAATTCAACTTTGTGGCTCAGGATAATATCTGGTAAGGCCTCCCCCACTCCTCTCGCTCTGACGTGCCCCCTCTGAGTCACCACTGAATCTCCTTCCCCCCCCTCCATCCCCCTCACTCTGGCTTGTACCCCTCCTCGGGTCGCTACCCAAAAATCCTCCCCCTAATCCCTCGCTCCAACTCCCCACACCCCAGGTCACCACCCAAATTTCCTCCCCCAACCCCTTGCTTTGACTCCCTCTCCTGGGTCTCTACCCCAGTCTCCTCCCTCCACTGGGGTCTCCTCCTCCAACCTCCTCTATCCAACTCCAAAACCCCAGCCCCTAAACTTCTCCTCTCACCCTGTGGCCTCTATACCAGCCTCAATTCTAGACACAACCCCCTCCCCCCAGAAGAACCCCACCCCAACGCACACACACCCTACCACATGGCTCACCCCATCCCACATGGCTCCTGGCCCAATCCTGCAGACACAGTTCAGGTACCCACTCCTCCCCTCCTGCAGCCTCAAACACATTGCACAGCTTGCCCCCTCTCATGCCAATTCCCAGGACCTTATCCTAATGACCTTCCCTCTCCCAATCCTCATTTCCTCCCATCACTGATTCCACTGACCTCCCCCAGCTCTCTGGTTTCCTGATAAATACTTATTTATCTAAATTGCCTATTACATATTGCACTGCCTTTGTTAATATTCCCATCCTTCTCTGTTTGCCCTCATCTCTGAATATATGTGACAGATTTTGCCTGATAAGTGTTATACCATGTAAAACTCTTGAAAAGCTTTCATGTCTCTATGAAATTAAATACCTGTTTTAATTTTAAAAAACCCTAGCAAGTATACTTCTGAACAGAAAAGCTAAGCAGATGAGACATGAATGTGAGGTGGGCTACATATGTGTTTCATTCATCAATACGCTCAGCACTCCACGGTCATTGGTATGATTCTTGTTACACCCATTTTTCTTACTTATATATCTGTGTGATGTAGAGTGGCAGGTACCAATAGTAACTGGGAAAAATAGCAAGCAAAGTCCTTTTTCTTAAGGTAAGAAAAAAACAGATGAATGATCAACAAGAAGTGTTATAAATGCGATTCTGAGCAGAGTTATACAATAACAAGTTCCTTTATAAGTAAGACCTTTTTGTTTCATCAAGTTGTTTGATTGTTGAGGACCTTTAAAAACTATCACTCAGTGAATAGAATAAATCAACACTTTTGTAAATTCTCCAGTAATTCTTAATGGAAAAGAGTTTTTGCTTAAAGTCTAAGCAATAGTCATAGTTATTTTGGTGTGCATTTATTAAATTAGTTTTATCTGTAGTTCACTTTTAACAGGTATCTTTGGTTAATTGAGACATACAAAATATGAAATCATGTCTGTTCTCATTGACAGGTTCATACAATCTTTTTTTCATGGCTTAATGGCCACTACTGTAACAAAACCTGCCAGTATTATTGAGTCAGGATTCCCAAATGATTATGTTTCTGAGACTTCATCTGATGATGAATTCTAAATATGAATCTAATTTAACAGGGGACATATTCAGTCTTATTTTTCCCTGATAAGAAGATCTTTGGCTCAGACTTCTTTAGCCTTAAATTCTTAATACAGACACTTTTGGTTTAAGTTGGGGGACTACAATTTCACAACTTATGTTTCTCATTATTGTAAATTGTGTTTTGTGACTTTAGATTTTTTTATTTTGATGATAGCTAGGAAAGTCTTTTTAAACATAATTTCTGTCTGCTTCAGGAAATACCATGTTGAAACTGAGTTTGAAGCTGCAAAGAAATGGTCCATCAAATGGGGATATTTAACAACACCTTTTGAGGAGGTAAAACTAAATTTGATGTAGCCTGTGTACGAAATTTACTTGAATAGCATACCCAGAATAGTTAGGTATGCCTTTCAGTTAAGATGTCCCAGTTTAGAATCATTATTATTGAAAGCCAAGCTGTAACAGGTTGCACACTGTGCATCTCCAGTTCGGCCCTTCTCCCCCTCTTCTCAGAGACTCTTCAGGCTGGTGCAACCCCCGTGCTCTTTATTTGTGATCAAGTCCCCACCACCAGTTCCCAACTATATACAAGCTTTTTACAACAGTTTAGCCTACCACAGACCCGGCCACTGCCGCCGCCGCCGCCACCGCCAACAACAACAGACCCGGACCCGGACCTGGACCCGGACCTTCCTCTCCTGGCCTCCACCCCCCTCTTTTGCTCTCACTTCCTCCCAGCCTTATAGCTCCTGCTAACAAAGCAGGGAGCTGTGGTCCGTTACCAAGCAAGCATCAGGCTATCTACCCAACCCCAATCCAATCCCCCTAATTGGGGCTGGAATGGCAGGAACTGATTAAGGCACCCTGCCATACATGCAAAATGTATTTCTCCAAAGAATCTTCATCTTTTGCAGACAACATGAATGGAGCATATAAGTGTAGATAAGCACTGATAACTTGGAGCCCTGTTTGTAGGAGTACTAACAAATGAGGTTCTTTTAAGGTGATAGTTCTAGTTTCTTTCAGAATAAAATATGACAAGTTGTACTTTGTGTGTTGCACATATTCTAATGTTCCTCTTGACGTACATCACTCTCAGTGGTGGTGACAGGAACTAGATGCACTGATATGAGAATATTTCCCCTTTGTTTGTCTATGAGATGCTTTTAAAACGGAAGGAGGGCCAGGATTTAGCTAATTTAATTTTCAGTAAGGAATTTTACAATGTGCTAAAATGATCTCTACTGAAATAGGGTTAATGTTGCCACTGAATTTAATGGCAAACCTCCCACTGGTTTAAATGGGAACAGGTTCATGGCCTGTATATTTAAACATTACAGGATGCATATTAAATTCAGTAAAATGTGAGTCACTTAATTGATTATCTGACACGATCTTCTCTGTGAGACTAGTTTCTGCATAATTTTTCCTGTACTGAATGACTTGAAAGAATGATTAAGTGCACCTAAAACAAATTGTAACAAATGTGAACACAAACAGCAATAACAAAGGGCTTGCAGCTTTGCAAGTTTATATATTATGATCCAGTGGTTAGAGCATGGATTGGATGGCAGGGCATGTGGATTCTGTTCCCAACTCTGCGTAGGCTGACCAGACAGCAAGTGTGAAAAATCGAGACAGGGGGTGGGGGATAATAGGAGCCTATATAAGAAAAAGACCCCAAAATCGGGACTGTCCCTATAAAATCAGGACATCTGGTCACCCTAACTCTGCCACTGATTTGTGTGACTTTGGACAAGACTCTTAATCTCTCTGGGCCAGCTTTTCAAAGGTACTTAGACTCTTGGAGATGCATATAGGTGCCTAATGGGACTTTCAAAAGTGCCTAAGAAGGATAGGGGCCTAAGTCCTATTGTCCATCTACATCTTTAGGTGCCTATGTACCTTTGAAAATCTGGCCCTCTGGGCTTCAGTATTCCTTCTTTACAAACAGGGTAAATTACGCTTGTCCACCTTTGTACAGCACTTGGAGATGTAAAGATGAAAAGCACAATGTAAGCTTTAACCAATATGTTTAATGCCATATATTACTATACATTGTATATTACAAATATATTTGGCACTTTTATTATGTATTTTTAGTTTGTTGTCACACAAAACAAATTTGCAGGTTTCTTCAATTCAGTGAAGTAAGTGAGAGTTGAGGGTGCTCGGCAAGATTCAGCCTGTCTTAAATTCAGAATTAAAGCTCTTTCTGAAACTGAAAAGTGCATTAGAACAGCTTCCAAAGCTGTATAATAAATAGTCCTGTATTGGGTGCCAAGAACACAGTGCACAGATACCGTAGTGATGGGAATGGTATAGATATCTGATATTAAAATGCTATGACAACACATTTCTTAGCCTGAAGTGTTAATTTTGATTAATGTTGGTATTCTATTTTTAGTTGATAAAAGACGAAAAGAAAGAACCCACTAAGCCTAAGATAGAGCTTCCAGAACATTTACAAATCCGACCTGTGACACCAGTGGAAAAATATATTAAGGTTAGGCAATAGATTTAAAAACGGCAATATACCAGTAGGTTAAATCTGTCCTAAGCAGCCACCCAAGTGCTAAAAGTCAGTTACCTAGTAGAGGTGGGTCTTCCACTAAAGGTCAGACTAAATTGTATTGGAAACCTCGAGGATACTTTAAAGGGTTTGCTTAAGCCAGGGAATTTTCTCTTTTGATGTGGTTGTTACTATGGGTTTCACTGTACAACAATCAACTATTATGGTAAAGCACCTCCTCTTTAACCTCCTGTGTAACATAAGGTTTATATAGTATCAGACCAGTCTTCTAATGTGGTGGGGGAGGAGGGTAGCATTTATAAGGAGCTCAGTGGAAGCTCCCCTCTACCTCCATCTCACAATGATTTCAAGATTTATCATAACCCATTTTTAAGAGCCATTTTTCAACTTCAACAACGTTGTAAAAACGAATCCTTGCTCTGTCTTTATTTAAATAAATCATTTTTTTCTGGATTTTATTTATTTTAAGCCCTCTTAGTGGCACAAATTAGATTTTCTTGCTACTCCTACTAGGCTATCTTCTAACAGATGATTCAGCAATTTGGTTTTATAGCTTGTCATTGATACTCATATTCCTGAATGCCAGTGGGAGTTGTACACACACCTGTTTCTGACAGTGGAACCTGGCACATTGTTTAATTCATAATTTTACAGTGTTTGTACTTCAAGTGGATGTCCCCACTCATGCAATCTTCTGCTTAGTAGCCAAAAGAGCAGCAAGTAGCCACAAAACAAAGCAAAAATAAAAGCATGTGAGAAGGGAAAGATTAAAAGGCAGAAAAGAACAGAAGGGAAAATGGGCAGAATAAAAATGGCAGCAACAGTGCCAACCTGTGATGTGAGAAGACTCCGATCCATCCTTTTCAAGGTGGCAGCAACAGAAGACATTTGGGAGCTGCTAGGTTAATAGATAGTTGGATTTATGGAGACCCACAAGGCTTCAAAGGGACTACTTGTGTGAATTAGGATTGAAAGCCCCATAAGCCCGAATCCTACAAAGACATCCACCCCCACAGAAACTTACTTCACCCCACTGAACTGACCAGAACTGTGCCTGAGTAAAAGATCGTATGGGCAGATTTCTTAAAGTCAGGGCCTTATATCATCATTTCCTTGGGAAAGCACTCCTGTTTCGTATATCTATAAAGGGCTATGAACACCTGTATGTCTATCAGTACTATTACAGAATCTGCTGTAACATTGCATCAATGTCTGTAACTAGGAAGTGAATTCTTCTTGCTCCTTTGGAGTGGTTATTGTAACCTTTTCCTTATAGCAGTAGATCCATTGATCACCGGTAGTCTGCTGAGAGCTGACTTGTGATATGGCGTTGGCTGTTCTTCTTTCCTGCTGCTGGCTCAGATTAAAGACAGCCAACAATACATTCAATTTCTTAATATTTCTCTGCCATGTAAGCAATTAAGCAATTGCCAATGAGCAGGATACACAGTCAGAAACAGGAGGTGAGCTGGGGGTCATGCAATTGCCAATGGGAGGGGAGGTTAGTCCAAGAGACAACATCTCTATTAAGATGCATACCATATTATGGAAGAAATTACCATTAGAAACCCCGCCTTCTGGTGGAAAAAAATCTTTTTAAAGGATTTACAAAAATAATAAGCAACAAAGCTGTTACCAAAATCAAAATAACTGAAAATTAAAGAAAAAGTTAGTGCAGAATGTTAGAATTGAAAAAGTGCCACCCTTTCTGCTGTTAATGCTTCACATTCTTAAACAGTGTTGTAAGACCAAATATTCAAGTCAGAGCCAAGCTTACCTATGTCTACACAGCAGCTAGAAGGTGTGAAGCTCAGGTAGACACACTCTCACAGGCTCTGCTTGAGCTAGTGCACAAAAAATAACTGGGGCCATAGCAGCATGATTGGCGGCTCGGGCGAGCTGTCTGAGTACATACCTAGGATCTTGGGCGGGGTTATACCCAGGCAGCTAGCCTGAGCTGCTACCATGCCACTGTGACCAAACTGCTCCATTACCAGCAGGACAGTGGGGTGGGAGAAGGTATTGTTTCATGATCTCTGTGTGTATATAAAGTCTGCTGCAGTTTCCACGGTATACATCTGATGAAGTGAGCTGTAGCTCACGAAAGCTCATGCTCAAATAAATTGGTTAGTCTCTAAGGTGCTACAAGTACTCCTTTTCTTTTTGCGAATACAGACTAACACGGCTGTTACTCTGAAACCTTTTAGCATGCTAGCTCAAGCAGAGCCAGTGCAGACGCAGCTGCCTGAGCTGTGAATTACACTTCTTAGCTGCAGTGTGGACCTACCCGGAATTTGTGGGCACAATTGCACCTGCACCCGTCTTGTGCATGCAAAGTGTGTACTACAAATTCAGCAGTTGGGCACTCAGCTGCAAGATTAGCATGAGTAGCCAGTGGTGTGTGCTCAGAAACAGAGGCCAGAGCTTCAGATTTGACCTCTGACATATGAATTAGCCAAGGAGAGCAAGAATTAGTGTAGTAAAACTATTCCCCATGTTTATTCCCCCCACCACCACACCCCCCACTGTTCCTCAGAGGCTCTTGTCAACTGCTGGAAATGGCCCACCTTGATTATCACTACAAAAGGTCCCCCCCTCCTGCCCCACCGTTCTCCTGCTGGTAATAGCTCACCTTAAGTGATCACTCTGGTTACAGTGTGTATGGTAACACGTATTGTTTCACGTTCTCTGTGTATATAAATCTCCCCACTGTATTTTCCACTGAATGCATCCGATGAAGTGAGCTGTAGCTCACGAAAGCTTATGCTCAAATAAATTTGTTAGTCTCTGAGGTGCCATAAGTCCTCCTTTTCTTTTTGTTGGATCTATGCTGCAGTTCATCCTTTTACATGAAGATCCATATTAATGTTTTTTAAATCTGTGACTTGAAATTATCACATTTGCTCTCTCTCATGGCAATGCACAATAATAACATGTCTGTTCCTTTGGCTGGGTTAGATATGTAATCTCCTGGCCTTCTCGTCCCCTTCTCTTTCCTGCAGAATAGAGGTGGAGCATAGTTTTCTCCATTATCCTGCTCAGTGGGTGGCATTTATGGCAATAGAAAATCATCTCTTCAAAGGAAATGCTCCACCTCAATATCAAAAACATTTTTCAGTTTTGGCCAAGGAACAAAGCAAAACAACTCTGGCAAAAGAATAAACTGAAACATTGTTCTCTCACTGTGTGTTTCTCTACTGAGTAAGTCCCCAGATGTTAAAGTGATACAACAGAGAGCACTTCTAATGTGCCTTAGTGGGATGATTCAGCCAAAGTAAGCAGTGCAGTCAGTGATCAGAGAATGCTGCCTTTTGTTTTGTTTCCTTCTTACTGATTATCTTGATGCATAACCATCTTTTATGCTAGAAACAGACTTTAAAGGATAAGTAGTTCTTGATGCAAGAGCCAGCTTGGTCAGTAATATCTTCAGTGTTTGGCCTCAGAACTATTATTTCTTAGCTATTTTACATTCAATTTGGTACCAAAATGTCTGCTTCCCTTGTTTAGAAATGTTACCTACCCAGAGATTATTTTAATATTTGATAGTTGGGAAACAATTAAAGCATCAGCTTAAATTTTGATTCTAACAGTGAAAACCAAACAAAGGCTCTATTACTTTATTAAACAAAGGTAATGATGAGAAGCTATAATCTAAAATATATTAAACACTTAATTCTTTCCTGCCAAATGAAGTTAAAGCTAATTTTCATACTCTTCTTTTTGCTTAAGTTGCCTTTCAACAGTAGAGAAAACTTGAAAAATCAGATGTATGTTGATAAAAATTGAGGATTGGATGGCAAATGGAATGCTTTCCTTTTAACTTCTGATTACCTCTTGTTTATTACCTTTGGAACTAACTTATTTTCTTTGATACACACTGATTTAAGCATTGCAATAATTTTTAAGCCTGTTGGTCAAACAAAACCAATTGCTTAACCAAAACCTCTTAATCTTTTCCATTGCTATTAAAAATATTTCCAACATAGCTTGTAGAATGGGCCCCCAAAATATTCTAGATGGTTTTTAATTATGACATCTGTATTATGGGCTTAATCCGGGAGGGTGCTCGTCAACTCTTGAAGGTCCTTAGCTCCATCAACTTCCATTGACTTCAATAAAAGTTGAAGGTTATTCAGCACTATGCAGGATGGCACAGCATATACTTGGCACCACTTTAAAGAGAGAATTCATTTAAACTTTGAAGTAATATTAGCATTCATCAATTTTCATTTTAAAAAAAGAGCTAGTTGAAAAGAAATTGTCCATTCCATCAACACTAGAATACAAAAGAGCATGTTGCATGGCAGTACAATAGAAATGAACAAGAAATATACTTAATTCTATTTACTTACTCTTATTTCAGGTCTACCCGTCTCCTCCAATCCCTAAAACAACTCAAGGATTTATTGGCTGGAGATCATCTGTGCCAGGACTGGAACTTGAACGTTATTATCAGATCAGTAGCTGCAAAGGTGCCTTTCACAAGGATCTGAAGTGGCCTGATGAACCCTCTGATTGACATTAAGAAATAACGAATAGGCATATTGAGCCATTTTTTCTTAATCTAAGTTAATATTCAGTAGAACAAATGTCAGATTTGCATAAATTGATATTAGAGAGTAAATGTTTGTGCATAGTGTCAGCAATATATTAGGTAAGAGGTGTATGTGAGAAATGTAGCATGTCAGTTGTTACTGTTTTATTGAAGTCTACAGTATACATACTGTTAGTGCACATTTTGGAATGTTTTTCCATGAAAGCAGCCCTAATTTAAAACACCTTATTTTTTGCAATAAGTTTTCCTGTAAAAGAATCCTAGGAAGATTATTTAAGTAGCACCCTTCTAGTTGTCTGCATTACAACTTGTCTATGACTGTGCTGGTGAGTCAGATGTGTCACTAAGCCATAAATTACTAAATACATTGTATATGCTTTATAGGTAGTTTGTGTAATGAACACATCTGTGTTATTTTGTGGATCCCAGTTGAGCTGCCTTATCAGTATAAATAGTTCACACCAATTCTATTTATCTGCATGCAAGGCGGTTGCTTTCAAAATGAGAACCACTTAGATGACTGATCAAAAAGGTATCCATATGTATGTTGGTGAGCATTTAACTGTATATAACAATACAATGACTTCTCAAGCATTTGAATTACAGTAATTATATTAAAATAATTTACATAATCTAGAGCTTGTCAGAGACTCGGAAATAGTTTGTTGAATAAACTGACAAAAGCAACAAAGCTGGCCAAATTCAAGTAATTGTATAGCATTCAAACACCTCCGAAGCCATCTAGCAAGGTACAAAACATGTAAATTTTACATAAGCAAAGACAATGCCTCATGTTTCAACCAAAACCAAACAAAGAACCCTCACACTAATTTTTCAGAAACATTGTGGGTTTGAAAAAAGAAAAAAATCATACAAACCCATTAGCACTGCCTACAGGTCATTGAGTAACCCACTGGACAGCCATCAGGTTACAGAGCTACTCACTCTTTGATTGAAAATGCTTGTCACATGACGTTTAGAGAGCTTATAGAGTGCACCCTGTGTCCTACTTATCAAACAGACACATTAGTCTCACAGTGGCATAGCTGAGTGCAATATAACATGCACAGGTTTAAAATTAAAAGCACTTTGCTACTGCACAGAAATTAGGCCTGAATGCAAACCTGAACAAGGTTTCTCTGCCTCACCTGATACATTTGAGGGTCTGATCCACCTGACATTAAAATCAGTGGAAAGTTTCCTATTCCTATTGACTTTACTGAGCATTAGATCAGTTCTTTCAGTGAGTCTCAAATAATTCTGTGCAAACTGGTCCCTCTTATCAGTGTTGAGAAATCACTGGCTTCTATCAGGTACCAGTTTCCTCTTGCTGTTGGTACAAATGACTTTATAGTAATCATTGTGGTGTTAGCAAATGTGGGGATCAGTGGCCAGTCTCACTTGTTTGGTTTACATTTAGGGACAAATGAGCTGCTGTACTGTTCAAGGTGGAAAAACTTATGTCATACCAGTCTGGCTATTATAGCATGGCTTCTTTATTTTTGAAATCAGTAGCCTGTATCCGAGCCATGCACAAGTGCAAGCCACACTTTACACTGGTGCAGTGTGGATCAACATTATGATCTGCCTTGTGCAGCTACAGTGGTTTAGCTATCCCAGTGAAAACAAGCTGTTGCAGGGTTGAATCCTGTCTTACTGTGTTAACACTTCAATACATGCCATCTAGCTGAATGTCCGTTAAAGGACCACGACAAAATGAGGTATAATTGGCTAAGCAGTAGTACTGCAGAAAAGGATCTGGAGGTGACAGTGGCTCACAAATTGAATATGAACCAACAATGTGATGCAGTTGCAAAAAAGGCTAATATAATTCTGGGGTGTACTAACAAAAGTGTCATATGTAAGACACAGGAGGCAATTGTCCTGCTCTACTTGGCACTGTTGAGGCCTCGGCTGGAGTAGTGTGTCCGATTTTGGGTACCACACTTTAGGAAAGATGAGGATAAATTGGAAAGAGTCCAGAGGAGGGCAAAACAAGTGATAAATAGGTTGGGGTTATTAAACCTTTTATTTAGTGTGTGCATAGTCATCTAGCCAAGCGATGGCATCTTCAGTGGCCCGATGCAGCTCTTCTAGGCCAACCGCTGAACCTAATCAGCAGGCATTCCTCAACAACATGCGCCATCATCTGTGTTGCACCTCAGCTGCACAAAGGGCTGTCACGAAGGCCCCAGCGATACTGGTTGGCTGCATAGAGACCTTGCCCGGTCCAGAACCTGTTCAACAGGGACCACTGGCGATGGGGCAGGTCAAAACCAGGCGGGCAAATTGTGTGGTTGGTGTCGAGGGACTGGTTGGGGATTATAACAGATATCCATTCCTCTTGCCAGAGTGTTTCCACCCTAACATCCTGGCATGGCAGATGAGACCATAATGGGGGATGTGATGGCAAACGTGCAGCTGGTGATTTAAAAAAGTCATTGTGCAGCAGCAGGTTTGAGTTGGTGCATACTTTCTCCAGTAACTTGCCAGTGGCAACCTCTCATCTAATATGAAGAGCAATATTGCTTAGAACTGGAAGCCATGGGCGTGGAGTCAGATGCAGGGTGTCAGAGATGATACGTGACCTATGAGGAAAGGTTAAAAAACTGGGCATGTTTAGTCTTGAAAAAAGAAAACTGATGGTGGACCTGATAACAATCTTCAACTGTGTAAAGAGCTGCTATAAAGAAGCTGGTGATCAATTATTGTCCATATCCATTGAGGGTAGGACGTGAAGTAAGGGACTTAATCTGAAGCATGGGAAATTTAGATTAGATATTAGGAACAACTTTCTAATTATAAGAATAGTTAAGTACTGGAACAGGCTTCCAAAGGAGGTGTGGAATCCCTTCACTGGAGGTTTTGAAGAACAGATTGGACAAAACTGTCAGGGAATGTCTAGGTTTACTTGGTTCTGCCTAGTTCAGGGGGCTGGACTTTGTGACCTCTTGAGGTCCCTTCCAGCCCTATATTTTTATGATTATTTTGAATTTACATCTGCAGGTTTTTTAACTTGTGAAGATATTTGACATTAAAGGAAGATTTAAAAAATCCCAGAAATTAACACAGGTGACTTCTCCCCATCCCCAAAATCCTCCATTTGTAGTATTGCTATCAAAACTCCAGTGCATCCTGCAGCTGTCAATACCTACTTCTTGAGTCAGCAGCAACCCCCTGGCACAAATGGCAGTAGGTCAGCTGTTTGTGAGTTGTTGTTTTTCTTTCTTGCTTCCCAAGAAGTGACTCATGATGATCAACAGCCCATCTATTTTTTACGTTAACATCCCACTCCAAATGCCCACAAAAGAACATTTGACTTTCTCCATATTCTTTACAAATAATGGAGAGGTGACTCACATCCTTTGGAAAGATTACCCAAAGAATGAGAACCCATATCAGAAATCACCCCCAGACAATTTACTTTAGAACCAGAGTAAGGAATAATATAAAATCAGACTCTGGAAATTATCTGAAGTTTCAAGTTTGCTACTAAACAACATAGCATTAAAAAGAACAAACAGTGCTCCGTGAACAGATAGGGCCATACTAGAAGTCAGTGTTTTTGATCAATGTCTTCCTTCCTTCCTTGCCATAGCTGTGTTTATATTGCTGTCAGGAAGGTGGCCCATTTTAATTATATTTAACACATTTTCCATTAAATGGTTCTCAGACTTATTTTAAAGGCAAGTGTAGACTGACCCTTTAATTCCAAGCTGGTTTCAGATAAATGCTTGTGCTGCAAATGAACGTGTAATTTAATAGCTGAAAAGGCACATAAAATTCAGAGTGCACTATTTTAAATGCCAGCATAGATAGAGCCAAACAAAGGAGAGACAACACGGTTGAGATGGTATTCGGAATTTTGTAATACTGACTGATTAGCAAAGAACCAGAAATGGCACCCTATATCCTGTGGTGATTTGTGTAAAATGAGGTTCAGGTCCAAACAACTCCTGGGTTTTTTATTTTGCAAAACCAAAACAAGACTGACAACATTTTACAAACCCAAAATAACTCCCAGCTTGCCAATTTCCAACCGTAAATTGCTGGAGTTTATAACTGATCCCTAAAAACTGACTCAAGACCATGAATAGGTATTTGTGTTCTACTTTGCTTCAGTTAAGAGGCCTTTTGATGGTAACCTAATTATAAGGCTACAATTTAGTCACGGGTATTTTTACTAAAAGTCATGGTCAGGTCACGGGCAATAAACAAAAATTCATGTGGCCTGTCTATGACTTATACTCTAAATATCCCTGACTAAATCTTGAGGGAGGGGTCACTACTGGGGCAGGAGGTGTCCCAGGGGGCCGCTACTAGGCGGGTGTCTGGGGGGACTGCTGCTGGGGAGGGTGCTCTGGGGGCCTGCCCCAGGATCATTGCTGAGGGCCACCAACCAGTGGCTGTTCTGGCTGCCCCCGAGACCGCTGCTCAGGCAATCCCCGGACCCAGCCGCACCAGCCGCTGCTCCTGCGCTCCCTGGCCCCGGGGCCATTCCAGCAGCGGCTGGTGCAGCTGGCTGCAGGACTGCCCAAGGAGCTGGCTGCGGAGCCACTCCAGCAGTGGCCGGTGTGACTGTCCCTGAGGCCACCTGAGCAGCTGGCCCCTGGAGCCAGCTGCTTGCGCAGCCCTGGGGTCAGTCACACTGGCCGGTGCAGAAGTCACGGAGTTTGCAGAAAGTCATAGAATCCATGACTTCCGCGACCTCCGTGACAAACACGGAGCCCTACCTAACAGTGATGTTCAAATACTCATACACAGGATTGAAATTACTTCATCTAATCTGAATTAACCATTACTTGATCCACAAATCAGTGGAGATTTTTTTTTGTTTAATGAAACTTTTGAAAGAATCATTTTATATTGCTCTGATTGTATCTACTTTCCCAAGATTCCTCTTTTGCCTTTTCTGTATTTAATACAATTTCTTTTGTAACTGTACTAGAGAGAACTGTCCAGTCAACTGCTCCAACCATGAGTGCAAACAGACAATGCAGAAGTACTAAATTACCTTGTACTGTTTCAAACTTGACATGTAATCTATGAAAATTAACATCTTTATTGGAGTCCAACAGAGCACATAAATGTCACTGCACATTGTAAAATAGCACACCATTTCTAAGGTCAGTATAGTATTAGTAAACTCAGTGTACACATTAGTGGAGTATCAAGACAATGAACTCCCTGATTTTTAAACGATTAAACTCAAAAATGAAGTAAAACCCAAGACATGTAATTCTGTTTGTACACCTTTAACATACACCGTACTGCATGAGTCAAAGTTTGAATGTACACAAAAAGTCACAGTTTGTTAATTTTTAAGCCTAAAATTGCACTTGAGTATATAAAAATCTGCTATTTTTCAATTAAAGTTTCATTGAGTAATGTGTTTCTCAAAGCCTTTGACTAACACAAATAGAGTTAAATAATCACATTAGCCAAGGAATATATATTAGCAGTTCCCTAGTTTTCTAACATTTTCACAGACCATTGAAGCCATCCTGTCCTTTAATCATTGCTTTAGACAAGGTTCTTACATTTAATAGCAGTATTCTTAAGTGGGGAAAGAGATGCATTTTCTTTAAATGCATGTCCAAAAGTCTTGTTTATGTGTACAGTCAGCATGAGCTAGAAGTCCAAAGGACTTAAGCACCTAAAGTGCATAAATCCAACATTTAAATGCCACCGAGATCCTCAAAACCCCTCACTCAGCTGCAACCTGATCCTGGAGGCACCTCCAAAGTTTCCATCACCGGGCATGCACAAAGCTGCCTAAATTGGGCATGCACAAAGCCCCACCTAAACTGGGCATGCACAAAGCCGCCTAAGACACCACCAACCTGCTCAGCAGCCTAGCTCATGCCTAAGCTCTGGCAGGATTTTCAAACCAGGCATTTCCCCACCTAAGGACAGCCAGGAATTTTCTGGGACGGGGCCCGTTCAATTATGCCCAATACACCGGCGGTTTGACCACTCGAATGAAGTGTGGGAGACTCAGGTTTGAATCTCCATTCTCTGTGATTTGGAGCAAGGACCTGGACCTGACTTTCCTACATCCCAGGGAGTGCCCTAACCCCTGAGCTATCGAGTCAATCTCTCTCTGCCTCTCTCTTCCCTTGCCCCCCCAAACCATGAATGATTTCATACAAAGTGAAATGGCTTCCATGGGAAATATGGAGGGTATGTCTACATTTGAGCTAGGAGAGGTGACTCCCAACTTGCACAGACATACCGTGCTAGCTCTGCTTGAGCTAGCATCTAAAAATAGCACTGTGTCCCTGGCAGCAGAGGCAGCTGCTGCTTAGGCTAGCCACCCTGAGCACAATCCCCCTATGTACTCTGTAGGCACACTCGAGCCACCGTGGACACACTGCTACTTTGAGGGGCTAGCTTTAGAAGAACTAGCACAGGTCCCTATAGGCAAGCTGGGTGTCACACCTCCCAGTTCAATTACAGACATACCCAGAAAGAGACTCAACCCAGAATACCCTGGTAGCGAGCGCGCTCTCTTGCAGTGTGGTAGATCTGGACTGTGCTCCACAACAGGTAGAGCAGGTATTTAGGAACAGTTCTCCCATATCCCAGGTAGGTGCCCAAACCACTGGGTATTGGCCATAATGGGGCAGGGGGAGAGAACAGGGGAGGCGGGTCTCTGTGTTTTCACAAGAAAGGACTGACCTGATTTAGGAGCCTAACTCCAACAGAGGGTTTATAGCTGAGAATCTCAAGCAGAGAAAGGTGCCTCCCTCCAGCCCAGAATTAAACACTTAACTGCCTTGGAGGGCTTAGGCCCCATCCCTCTCCTGGGTATCTCCCACTGGCTAGTTTAAGCAGTGCCTCCATCAGCTTGTTGGCTTCTGTGAATCCCTTTCTCAGGCACCTAACTTTCCTAGTACAACACACAGGGAGCCTGGACACTTAACTCCGAGCTTTAAATTCCATGGGGCAGCAGGATACCTAAGAGTTAAGGCATAACAAAGCGAAGTGCCCTTTGTGGATCTAGGCCTATGACTAGTTATGCAAACTAAACACTCATGCACACTTGGCAGACCCCTATTGTTTACCCACACAATTACTTGAACGGCATGCACAAACTGGGCGTGCACTTGCCACTTGCACATATCTTTTGGGATATATAATTGGCCATGCAACGTTTTGTATATATGGGTCTCAGCTACAATTTACCATACAATACTCCTATTAACATCAAATTAACTTGTCCTCAAGCCACAGTTACTTTATTTACAGGCCTACAAAATTAGGTCACAAAAACTTAGTGCGTCTTCCATTCAGAGGGTGTTCATTTTTGTGCTGTTAAAATATGCATGGAAAACCTAGAATTGACACTTGCTACATATAATTGCACTAATACAAGATGATTTGTATGAGACTTTAGTTTTAGGAGATTGTTATTTGTTTTGAAAGATGCATTCTGCATCAGAGGATAGAGATTTTGATTAGATGAAAGGCAAATGATGATTCTGAATAAGTAACACTGCTGGAATTCCAGTCACCAGTCAAGTGCTGCTGTACATTTTGAGAGGGGAGAGGACTACATAAGCAGTTGCGGTGTGTGTATATGTGATGGACTTACTGTGCAAGGAGGACTCTTAATTAGAAAACAACTCTCACTGGTATTGTATAACTGACATTTCTGTTTCTGGAAAACGGAACATATGTGTAATTTATTGTTTGTATTATCATAGCGCCTAGAAGTCCTACTCATGGACCAGGACCCCGTTGTGCTAGGTGCTGTATAAAACACAGAACAAAAAGGACTGTCCCTGTCCCAAACCACAATCTAAGGCACGGGTGGCCAACCTGTGGCTCTGGAGCCACATGCGGCTCTTCAGAAGTTAATATGTGGCTCCTTGGATAGGCAACGGCTCCAGGGCTGGAGCTCCAGGCGCCAACTTTCCAATGTGCTGGGAGGGGTGCTCACTGCTCAACCCCTGGCTCTGCCACAGGCCCTGTCCCCACTCCCCCCTTCCCACCCACTCCCCTGAGCTTGCCATGCCCTTGCTCCTCCCCCTCCGAGCCTCCTGCACGCCACAAAACAGCTGATCGGGAGGTGTGGGGAGGGAAGGGGAGGTGCTGATTGGCAGAGCTGCTGGTGGGTGGGAGGCACGGGGAGCAGGGCACGGGGGAGTTGATGGGGGGCTGCTGACATATTACTGTGACTCTTTGGCAATGTAATTGGTAAATTCTGGCTCCTTCTCAGGCTCAGGTTGGCCACCCCTGATCTAAGTATTAGACAAGAGACAACAGGTGGATATAAATAAATAGGAAAGTACAAGGAAACAAGGAGACAATTGGTCAGCATGATAAGTAAGGTCTCAGCACAGCAGCATCCTAACTGTTGTCAAGTTTTTTGCAAGCATCCAGGCAAAGGAGATGTAGTTACATCGATTTTAACGGCTGAAAGCATATTAACTATTTCAAGAGCCTTGCTGTATTAAATTCAACTGTACTGTAAACTGACATTGTTGTACAATGCACAGTTGTGCATTTGCGACTGTCGGAAGACAGGATACTGGGCTAGATGGCCCATTGGTCTGACCCAGTATGGCCATTCTTTTGTTCTCAGGTACTTGGAAACTGGTTCATTTATAGATGGGCAAAACTGCACCCCTTTAGTTTTCTCTCACTGAGGACTCCACTGTACGTGAGAATGATCAGCAGTAAACAATATGGGAAATACTTAAAACTAGAAAGTCTGTGTAAACAATAAAGAAACTGCAAGGATCTGGTTCTTAAAGTCTCAAAGTAAAACACTGGATAGGGTCATTATTATTCAGATGGATTGGAGCTAGATTTACATTAGGGCTTCAGGCTGCTCACACAAGACTGAAGTCTTGCTCTGCACCAGATAGACCAGAATACAGAGTTTAAAGAATGATCTTTCCTATCCACGGCAGTGCAGGATTTATTTCCATAAAGATTTCCCACTAGAAATTCACAGGTATAATCTGAACAGTACTGCAAGTTATATGTTCATCTCAGTGCAGCAAGATTTATAGTGCTACCCCTTTGAAAATGAGACACTCCTCATACAGAGCACTGGGTTTTGCAGGCTCTTGTGGGAGTGAGGAAATCTGTAGAAAGCAAATCCAAGGTGGTGGTGGCTCTCCAGATGCCACTTTAGTCTTGCATCACCCGACCACCAATATTGGAAAGAGACACTAAAGCACCAGAGTTCCTAGTTATGCACTGACGGGTGACTTAAAGCCCCTAAATATTCCACCGCACCATCCACCTATGCCTGTAACTTCAGGCTATCT